AAAAAATATATTTCTCATCTAATTCTCTATTTACTTATAAAATATATCTCTACTAATTTATTTCTCGTACAGAGCAGTAATGGTGGTTTTCCCGGTTGGGAACCCCAAAGAGCATTTCGTTGGTTGGAGGTAATATAATATTGTTTTCTATGGCCTCGTTCATTTCACCGATTCGAGTTTTCAGTTTTAAGTTTTTACAGTAAAAAGCTCTCAAAAAATGTCACATCTAACTTTTTCTGTTACAGTAAAAAATTATCATAAAATGTCACATCTTAACTCAAATTAAAAATTCGAATCCGCGAAGTGGAGAGAAGAAAACTGAGTTAGGAAAACTTAACGCATCTCAATTAGGTTGGCACCCACTAAACAACTCGTCTTATATATATGAAGCACCCCTTCTCTAATTTATCAATAAAGAAATTCATAATCCACCCGTAGGGTAACAAAACAACAATGAGGGTAACACTTTCTCTAATGAGATTAAATATATTGAACTAATATTAAACTGATCGATGACGATTTACAATAATAATGTATCATCAACTTTCAATCTTGCAGAAGTACCTTAATCCCACAGAGTTTCTTGAAGATACTCTTATTGAGCGAGAGTAAGATTTTTCACTAATTATAAGATTACAACATTTATGTAACTAGCTAGACATATAGTTGGCTTAATTCCTTTGAATCATTTGATCAGTTATGTAGAATGCACTTCTTCAGCAATTCAGAGCTTGATACTCTTTAGGAAGCTTTTTCCACGACATCGGAGAAAAGAAATAGATAGTTGCATATCAAAAGGAGTGCGTTACATTGAAAATACACAAAATCCAGATGGTTCATGGTAAATATCTTTTTCGGCATCAATCTGATAATAAATTTGGCCTCAAATATTTCATGATTTTGGCCACATGATTAAGCCTTACTTCTTCATATCTCTCTCTCTCTCTCTCCCTCTCTCTCTCTCTCTCTTCCTGCTATCCTTTACTATCGAATAGAAAGGTATCTCATAAACATATGAAAGCACAAGTACATTGTACGTGTGTTATTAGGGAAAAGAAAAGTATGAGAGAAAACTAGCTAGAACATCCATATATACTATTTTGGCACCCACTAGAAACCATGTTTTCTTTAAATCTGTTACTCAAATTTATTAAGAAGCTGTTACGAAAAATCATGTATGCAAGTGCAGTATTGCTGTCAAGTATGAATACGAGTATCGTCCCACGATGAGTGATTGATATTAGGTACCAAAATTATGTCTAACCCTAACTTCATTTGAACAGGTCAAAATATGAGAATTGTTTGTGAAAATTTAAATAACTAAATAAAAGAAAACATACTCGAATAATAATTAGAAGAAATTCAAAGATAAAACAGCTCTAGAGTTTCTGATTTCACCAATATCAATCAAGTTCAAACCCCTAATTCCCATCAATTAATGTTTCTTCTTATGGTGACAGTGGATTTTTCTAAATTAATTACTAATTTTTCTCAAGCACTAATAATCCTACCCAAACATGCAAACCCCACATCCCTGTCAAGATTTTAACATGTTGAACGCATTAAGATTAGAAAATCACAATCACCACACTAGTCACATAATTATCTCTAGGTTATGATGTTCTAATGGCATTATAATCAATGGTCATGTTTAACCATCACTTCTCAGTCTCAGAATTAAACTCTGAATCATGCAAAGGTTGGCTAGACATTCACAAGCATTAAGAACATATTATAATACTCAGCAATATGAAATAAACATCGATTAAATTAGTAATTAAAAATTATAGAACAATACTGATCCGGCTACATCGTAGCCCTAGAAAATGTAATTAAAACACAATGAAATAAGAAAACATCCTAACAATAATTCTAATCATGAGAAAAGGAAGAGAAAAGAAAACTAGATTGAAGATTCGAAGCCAGAGTCCGTTTCCAGGTGAGCCGACTTCTCCTTCATTGTGCCGTCAATTCTCCTTGTTTTCTATGGGAAAAGAACCCCTTATTTAGTCCTAAAAAGTCCTATTTATATGCCCTCGGCCGTAAGGGCAAAATTGGGACTTTTGGGCATAAAAAACTCTGTTGAAACCCACCTTATCGCGTCTAGTGCCATGACGTTGAGTTATGGGCACCGCGGCGCTCTTCAGTTCGGCCCACATATGCCATGGTGTCAGTGTTGAGTGTCGCGACGCTATGGTCAGTGGCATGGCACTCTTGGAATCGCTCAAAATTCCTTATTAGCGTCGCGGCCTTACCTGTTTAATGTCGCGACGCTCATCCTTCCTCAAAAGTGAATGTTTTAAACTTCTTTTGTTCCAATTAACTCCAAACCGATCCAAAGTGCCATCTCCTACCTAACCTATAAAACAAGAGCAAAAACAAGCGTAAAGCCTATACTAGAAACTCGAAAACTAACAAAAAGCTAAGATTAGACACAAGTTCGTGAGTAAAAACACTCACTCATTAGAAGTCTAAGATGAAGAAAGAGTTACAAAAACAGTACTTCCTTGCAAAAAGCCTGCCACGCCCACTTATAGTTAGGGTCCTAGTGTATATTTTTAACCATTGGGCCTATCAAACTCACGTCAAAATAATAAGGGAAATAATAGAAAATATACCAATATGAAAAGCTTAAGAAAGTATATAGGCCAACTTTTAGTTATAGAAATTAATAGGTCATAACTTGTTAAGTTATAATTCATAACCAGATAAGTTATGGACAAACTTGTCAAGTTATGGTTCATAACTAGACAAGTTATGGATAAAAACCGTGAATTATGAACAATAACTTGTCAAGTTACAGTTCATAACCAGACAAGTTATGGACAAAAACAGTAATTTGGCCTATTTATTAACTTATGTAAACTATTGGCCTATTAATTTTAATTCATCTCAAGTCTTGGCCTATTTCCCTCTTTCTCTCAAATAATAAAGTATATACAAAAAACAGTTTTTTAATAGGGATCTTACAGTTGAAAACAAAGACATACTAGTAGTTAATTTTTCCATACCTTACCGTAACAACTAAAAATCTCCTTATATTTAAGTGACTCTAAAACTTACAGGTACGGACGTTGGGGAATTTGCTACACTTATGCTACATGGTTTGGGGTAGAAGCGTTGGTAGCTTATGGAATGAGTTACAACAAAAGTCCTTCCTTGCGAAAAGCTTGTCAGTTTTTACTCTCAAAGCAACTGCAAGATGGTGGATGGGGCGAAAGTTACCTTTCATGCCAATATGAGGTATCATATGGCAACTCTTATATTCACTTTTGGTCATAGATATAGCATTAGGAGATATTGGAATCTCTAATGATGTTAGATTATACATCACAATATAATATAGTCCAGAAGAAAAAGTTGTCTAGACGTTCGGTAAGAAAAAAAAAATGACAATTATATTGGGTGCATTTGTAACTCGTTCTAAAATGATTTTATTTTTTTTGTATGAAAAGGAAAATAAAAAAGTTTTCAATCTCAGACATAAATCATTTTTAAAAATGCATTTGATAGTTTTATCAAGAGATTATTTTTAATATAAAAAAACTCATTAATATATCTTTCTCTTTCTCTCTGCTCGAGAGGGGAGCAAACGAAAATAAAAATTGAAAAACGACTAAAAGTCGTTTTTCATTTCTCTCTCATTTTACACTAAACTAAAAAATCATTTTCATTTCTGTTTTTTATCTTTATTACGCCAAATGCCGTTTTAGAAATGTTTTTATTTTTTCTTTCTTAAAACACGCGAAAAATTAAAACAGAATCAATTCTAAATACGGCATGAAGATTTACTTATAATTGGTAGCTTTTGTTCAACTTCGAAACAGGTATATACTAATCTAGAAGGCAATCGTTCAAACGTGGTCCAAACTGCATGGGCATTGTTGTCCCTCATTGTTGCCGGGCAGGTGAGCGTATAATTTTTTAATTAGATTGATAATTACGTGATTCTGAATTAAGTTGGTAATTAGCCATATCAAGTTATTGCTGATAGATTCAGTAGAAAAAAAAAAAGCTATAGAGGTTTCAAACTGGCTTGGCCCGACCCGCATGAAAGACATGAGCAGGGTTCGGTCTAGGTTTTCGGCCTGCAAGCCGAGCCGTCCCTTATTTCGTCTCCATCAAACCGGTCCGACCTTGCCCGAATATAAGATGGGGCTGCCCCTTTTTTTTCCTTAAGGCCACCCCATTTCTAGCTCATATGCATGTAATAACCGCCGAGCCGTCCCTTATTTCGTCTCCATCAAACCGGTCCGACCTTGCCCGAATATAAGATGGGGCTGCCCCTTTTTTTTCCTTAAGGCCACCCCATTTCTAGCTCATATGCATGTAATAACCTAGCTTTTTACAACAAATAATCAACCTGATTTTTTTGGGGAAAAATAATCAACCTGATTATACAAAGTACTACTTAAGCTCTTGTTTGGATAATTCTTAAAAAGTAAATAAGTAAAAATAAACCCAGCAACCCCTAGTGTGGATAGCATGCTGCCAAAAAAAAAAAAAAAAAGGGTAAAAAATGTTATAATATTTTCTCGAACTTGTTTTAATTCAGGCTGAAATCGATCCGACACCAATACATCGAGGAATGAGATTATTGATCAACTCACAAATGGAAGATGGTGATTTTCCACAACAGGTAATACACACTTATGGCTGGCATGCATTTGTATTCACGTACTCAGGAGATTTATATTTTATATAATAGATAGAGGCCCCGCTCATTTTACCGATTCGAGTTTTATGATAGTAAAAGGTTATCAGAAACAGTCACATTTAATTTTTTTATTACAGTAAAAAGCTCTCACATAAAATCACATCTCAATTCGAATTAACGAACTAAACGTGCTCAGATTCTTCAAATGATAATAAAGCCTTTTGTGAAACTTTCTCCAAGTACGTAACTTTACATATATGCATTAGTAATTACCTTGTTATTTCTTGTATAATGACAAAACAACAGGAAGTAAATGGAATGTTTATGAAGAATTGCGTGCTCAACTACTCATCATATCGAAACATCTATACTATATGGGCTATGGGAGAATATTGTAGACGTGTTTTATGCTTACTATAACAAGACAAGAATTCAGAAGATTGATCAGAAGATACAAGCTTATTGTACGGGCAAATCCCACATTTGGGGACCAAGCATGAACTGCCGCATAATTATCATGATACCTTTCTTGCGCATTTTTATGACGATTTTTCTATGGTTTATGTTTATATTATTATTACTCATTAAATATAAAAATTTGATGATATAAAATTTAATTTCATTAATTGTTATATTCATGTTTTAGTCAATTATACAATTTATTACAACCGTTTAACTAATATTACATTGTAAAACCATAAAACTCATAAATTGTTTACTAATCAAGTTTGAGGAATGGGAGTGGAGAATGAAATCTATCCTATGTTTAGTTGCTCTTTTTTCTTTCTTTTTTTTAATCCTGAAAGGAGAGTGAAAATGATGAGTCCCACACAAATTTAGGCTTAAAGAATGGGATTGGAGATCAAAGAATTCACCCTCATTTAATATTACATTTTTCAAAATGAGAGAAATTCAAATTTTGAAGTAGTATGAAGGGAACAATAAAAATGTTTACGGAGAAAAGTGGGGGCGACTCTAAAGTTCAAGAGGCAAAATGCTGACTCTAAAATTCAGGAGGAATATGTGCAAATTACCAGAAATTTAATTACAATTTTACTGTCAAACAACATGCATGTTAGCATGCATGTAAGACGTTTTTAGTCTCTTTTGAATAGAAGTTAGGACGGAAGGAGCAAAGTAGAAATTAATAAAAAATTTATGATAGTAAGGTGGGAATTTTCAAAGTTTAGAAGGCAAAGTAGAATTGACCCTAAAATCCAGAGGTATAAATGATAATAATCTAAAAATTAGAGAAACAAAACTAATCTCAAATATGAGAAATTTAATTTTTTTTTCCTCAATCTCGTACGCATGATGCTGAATTCTCTCAAACTATTGAGATCCTCTACAATTCTTCAATTGATATAGCATCTTTCAAGTCTCATTCGCTTGTTCCAATTTTGCTTTCCCAACTATATCAGTTGCACATAACTATAATCATGTCAGTCTGAAAATTTTCTTTTAAAAGAATAATTATTCCACATAGAAGGACAATATAAGCTATGATCTTATTATGTCTATAAAGAGGTACTCGCATGAAAGTTGTATCATATTGGCCATCATAATATACACAATATCTCATTATTATTTTATCCCTTTTAGAAAAAATCGATAGGAGCCTTGGAACTTCAACCTTTCTTACTTGTATAAACCAAATACAAACAAAACAAAAAGTTTAGGGATGAAATGCAATTTTTCAACTTTTAGGTAAAAAATATAATTTTTTAAAATTATTTACTTATTGTTTTAAAATATGAAATAAAAATAACCTTTATTTTTTATTTAAGAAAATTTTAAAAAAAGAAATATTTTAATTTTTGTTTGAAAAATTAAAAAAGGAAACTTTAAAACTGTAGGATTTACTATCTACCTAAATAAATTTCATGAAAATACTATTTTGCCAGAAAAAGGAAAGTTATATTAACTTTTTGGTCAACATATTCATTCGGAAGCAGGGGCTTTTTTTTTTTTTTTTTTTTAATTGAAGACTTGAAGCGTATGTTCCCATGAATCGTGAAGTATGCTAGGTATTGTTTTCTTTTGAATGAAACAACAAATTTACCAAAAAGATTAAAGAAAATGAACAATACTAGGGTACTTACTAATAAAAGATGAATTTCATAGTATTGGCTTCTAAGATAGAATTCACTTTTTATAATTAATTGTGGTGTTTAACACTAACATGTGGTGTGTTACACATTTTTCTTAAAAGACTTGACAAATCTACGCATCAATTAGCAAAATGGTAGTTATGTACACTAATATTCAGTAGAAACATTGACATGAGAGATTGTGAGATTATGGGACAGTTTTGGAGTCCAATTCGCCATATAAGACGATTATGTTTGCTAGTACCATCATTACATTAGGCCAATTTAGACGGAGTGAGTGAAATGTCAATTAATTGTTTTAGGCTAATTATGCACTATCTTTTATCTTTTACTATTTATTATTACGAGTCTGCCATAAATGCGTTTGCTCAAAACAATGATGTGGAACACAGGACCTAAAAGACAATTTCTAAAAACTAACTTCAAAAATGTCTTCCACGTTCATTTCGCTGATTCGAGTTTAGAATTCGAGTTTTATTACAGTAAAAAGTTCTCACAAACAGTCACATCTAACTTTTTTACTACAGTAAAAAGCTCTCACATAAAATCACATCTCAACTCGAATTAAAAACTCGAATCAGCGAACTAAACGGATCTGTCAAGAAAATGAAGAAAATTTAGGACTCGTTCATTTTACCAGTTCGAATTTTCAGTTTTAAATTTTTACAGTTAAAACCTCTCAGAAAATGTCACATCTAACTTTTTTTACTACAGTTAAAAACTCTAAAAAAATGTCACATCTCAGCTCGAATTGAAAACTCGAATTCGCGAAGTGAACGAAACCTGTGAAACACCCAAGAAGGGTGAACAGTGTCTTTAAGTATTAGTACTCTGGTGGATGTAGAGATTTCTTGGTTTCAATTTGGAGGTTAGTTTAATTGGTCCTTCAAAAGTAGTTACAGTTTATCAATTGGATGATCTACTGAAAGTGAATAGACAATCTCGGGTGAATATTATGGAGGACTCTTAGAGCCCGTTTGGTTCATAGATTAGAACTATGAGATTAAAATTATTTTCGATTTATGTGTGTTTTTTGTAAGAGAAAATACTGCAGTGAACTATAAACTATGATTCGAATCAGAGAACGAATCCTCCAACTAAACGGGCTCAAGATTGAAGCCTTGAAGCAGAGGAGACGTTGTTTCTTTTAGTTCTTAAAAAAAAAAAAAAAAGGGCACATCTTACAATACAAACGAAACAAAAAGTTTAGGGATGAAATGCAATTTTTCAACTTTTAGGTAAAAAATATAATTTTTTAAAATTATTTACTTTTTGTTTTAAAATATGAAATCAAAATAACCTTTATTTTTTATTTTAGAAAATTAAAAAAAAAACAAAAGAAATATTTTAATTTTTGTTTCAAAAATTAAAAATGGAAACTTTAAAACGGTAGGATTTACTATCTACCTAAATAAATTTCATGAAAATACTATTTTGCCAGAAAAAGGAAAGTCCTCGTTTCGCTTATTTGAGTTTAGAATTCGAGTTTTGTTACAGTAAAAAGCTCTCACAAACAATCACATCTAACTTTTTTGCTACAGTAAAAAGCTCTCACATAAAATCACATCTCAACTTGAATTAAAAACTTGAATCAGCGAACTAAACGGGCCATTATTAATAACTTTTTGGTCAACATATTCATTCGGAAGCAGGGCTTTTTTTTTTTTTTTTTTTTTTTTAATTGAAGACTTGAAGCGCGTGTTCCCATGAATCGTGAAGTATGCTAGGTATTGTTTTCTTTTGAATGAAACAACAAATTTACCAAAAAGATTAAAGAAAATGAACAATACTAGGGTACTTACTAATAAAAGATGAATTTCATAGTATTGGCTTCTAAGATAGAATTCACTTTTTATAATTAATTGTGGTGTTTAACACTAACATGTGGTGTGTTACACATTTTTCTTAAAAGACTTGACAAATCTACTCATCAATTAGCAAAATGGTAGTTATGTACCCTTTTTATAATATTCAGTAGAAACATTGACATGAGAGATTGTGAGATTATGGGACAGTTTTGGAGTCCAATTCGCCATATAGGACGATTATGTTTGCTAGTACCATCATTACATTAGGCCAATTTAGACGGAGTGAGTGAAATGTCAATTAATTGTTTTAGGCTAATTATGCACTATCTTTTATCTTTTACTATTTATTATTACGAGTCTGCCATAAATGCGTTTGCTCAAAACAATGATGTGGAACACAGGACCTAAAAGATAATTTCTAAAAACTAACTTCAAAAATGTCTTCCACGTTCATTTCGTTGATTCGAGTTTAGAATTTGAGTTTTATTACAGTAAAAAGTTCTCACAAACAGTCACATCTAACTTTTTTACTACAGTAAAAAGCTCTCACATAAAATCACATCTCAACTCGAATTAAAAACTCGAATCAGCAAACTAAACGGATCTGTCAAGAAAATGAAGAAAATTTAGGACTCGTTCATTTTACCAGTTTGAATTTTCAGTTTTAAATTTTTACAGTTAAAACCTCTCAGAAAATGTCACATCTAACTTTTTTTACTACAGTTAAAAACTCTTAAAAAATGTCACATCTCAGCTCGAATTGAAAACTCGAATTCGCGAAGTGAACGAAACCTGTGAAACACCCAAGAAGGGTGAACAGTGTCTTTAAGTATTAGTACTCTGGTGGATGTAGAGATTTCTTGGTTTCAATTTGGAGGTTAGTTTAATTGGTCCTTCAAAAGTAGTTACAGTTTATCAATTGGATGATCTACTGAAAGTGAATAGACAATTCGGGTGAATATTATGGAGGACTCTTAGAGCCCGTTTGGTTCATAGATTAGGATTATGAGATTAAAATTATTTTCGATTTACGTGTGTTTTTTGTAAGAGAAAATACTGTAGTGAACCATGAACTATGATTCGAATCAGAGAACGAATCCTCCAACTAAACGGGCTCAAGATTGAAGCCTTGAAGCAGAGGAGACGTTGTTTCTTTTAGTTCTTAAAAAAAAAAAAAAAAAAGGGGCACATCTTACTATATAAGTGGGAAAGAAATTGAGCAAAAAGGTAAAGAAAAAAAAAAGGGTCATTCTATGAGTTTAGAGCTCATAGTGGGAAGGGTTTTAAAAATAGAAAAATCTTAGGATTTTCTCTTAGTTGCTTAATTTTGTTTTGTTTGCTTTTAATTTGAGTTTTTCTTTATGTAGCGTAGGTCCTATGTGTTTTAGTTGCAAGATTCTTTTTTTTTTTCTTTTTTCGAATAAAGTTTTCTGCTTATTACAAAATTAGGGATTTTATCCAATTAAAAAAATATGACAAATAAGCAACAAAATTTACTCTAAAGAAATAATAAAATAACAACAAAAAAAGATGCATTAAGATCATTTCTAGATTATGACACTGCAAATCAACACCACCATCGATATTTTAAATTGAATGAAAAATTACGTGGACGTTTAGTTCATGGATTAAGAATCATGATTTAGAATTATTCTCATTTTACGTGTATTTTTTGTGAGAAAAAAATACTGTAAAAAATCATGAATCATGATTCAGAATCATAGACGAATACAGGAAACAAACGTCCCCGACATATACGTCTCCTGTTTTTGGCCACATGTAGTACTCTTTTAAGTCTTAGAAACAAAAGCCAGCCAGCCTTCTAGAAAAACAGACTAATATTAAACCGGAAAGAAAACTCAAACACACTTAATTTGTAACTTAAAGGTACTCCAAACACCAAACTCAAAAGATAGCACAATGGCCTAATTTCAAAAGAAAAAACGGCCAAAAGTGACCATATTGCCTAAGCCGTCCGCATTCTACTTCCCAAGAAAAACAATGGTGAGAACAGTATTTGTCTCCAGCGAAGCCTTCAACAATTTCAATCCCTATCGACAGAAAGAAACAAGCACAATTAGTCTGCATTTATATATAATAATGATATAATCATATAACTAGAAAAACATAACGATTATAAACACATATATATACCTCTTTTATGCCAACCGAAACAGTCTTCTCCTCAAGACCACCCACCTCCTTAACATTGAACTTATTGAGCATAGCAATGCTTGATATGGTGGACATGGGCTTGACTTCTAGATCGTCCATTATCATATACGTAACGACACCTTTCACAAAACCTCCCTCAGCAGACGACACCCCCGCATTAGGAGGTGGGGGAGCCACGTAGACGAGCTCCGTGGTGATGGATCTTCTAGGGCAATAAGTGCATGTGGCTCCCGGCCTTTCGTCGGACCCACTTCTGCCACAGCTCCCGCATATGTACAGTTTTTTACGGACAGATGTGTCACTACTGTCGGTCAACGAGAGAAGGGTGGCTGAAGAAGAAGAGCCGATTGATGAGTTGGGTTTCAAAAGAATGTCCTTGTTGACGTTTGGTTGCATGTAAGTGTCGCTTAAGCTTTCGAAGCTCTGGTAGAGCTTTCCGAGAGTTCCCACCATGCCATTTGTCGATAGGAGCCGGATAACTGTTCCCACTGGCAAAGACAAAAGGGTGAAGAGAAAATCAGCAAAGTCCTTGCCTGCTTCAGCAAACAGGACTCTTTTTTCCTTGAAGTCGATCAGAAGTTTCAGAGTTATGTTGGACTCGGCCGAGCTTGACTTTGCCATTATCAATTATTAATCTTCTTGTTCTTGTCGTTCTAGTAAAAGATAATATATATATACAATAGTAGATCTTCTTATATAGATCCTTGTGATTAAGGACAATTAATGTTGCTAAAGTGATCGTTTGTTTTCTCATGACGGATACACTGACTCTAATCAAAACCATTTAAGTTGGTGCATGCACGCATATATATATATATATATATATATATATATATATAACATTTGAAAGGCCGAACAACTTGATTTTTTCATCCTTCGATGATGGAAAGTGGAAATTATGGGTCCACAAAAAGAAAAGGGAATAAATATAGTTTTTTCCTGTAAATCGTTCAAAATTCTTTTGAGTACTAAGGCATCTCAAGTATCGCTTCCTTTTCATATCCCCATCACAGGATAATAACTGAAACTGAAGATGCCTTTTTCTTCGCCTTATGGGAGTACTTTTTATTCCTTTGACTTATGGCTTTGTGCTTTTTGCGTTTTGCCAGCTTATTTTATCTTTAACATTATTTTAATTTTTTTTTCTGGATTAACAAATATAGTGTTTTTGCTATATTTATTTTGTTCAAGTCTTTGGGCTTGTTTATTTATTTTAAACTCTCGTAATTTTCTATCTATATTATAAATTGGATGGGAAAAGTGAAATGATCTTTTTAGTGAGTGGCAACTTTGTTGGTATACACTAAAATTAGTTCTGGTTTTTTTTTTTTTTTTTATTGATTGTATTGAATTACAAAGATGTGCCCGTCAAAAAAAATTACAAAGATGCTTAAATGTTTTTTCTTTGTCTTGTACCTCGACTTTTTACTTTATAATTGACTTTATTAATTAAATGATTTTTATTTAAAAAATAAAGAAAAAACACATAAGAGTCATTTGACTTCTAAAAGTAAATGTCAAAATCAAAACGGCAACTATAAATACAATTATCATTTGTTAAAATATTCCTCATCAATAAATGAAAATCTTAAGAAATTTAATTGGTGGGCAAACCCAATGATTATATGTTTTCGGATTTATGTCATAATTGTTTTTCTATTTATTTTTGGATTTATATTATAATTTGTTGGCCTATAATTTTTTTTTTTTTTTTTTGCTGATCAATTTGTTGACCTATAATTAGTTCACTTTTTTTTTTGAATGAATTAGTCCCACTTATTTGGCACAAATAGGAAACTTGTCACATTCTTCAAAGGGGAAATTAGGAAATAAATAAATGCATCAGTCTAGATTATTACTTCTCTTTATTTTTTTATTAATATTCTTTTTATTAAATAATTATATTAGTTAAAATCATATTAATCAAGAGTAAAAATAAAAATCAACAACCATATATTATTTTTTTTAAATACAAAACATTTCATTAATCAACAAAACATGAAGCTTATAGTGCACTCAATAACAGATTTTATGAAACTAAATGAATTGCATGAGAAACTACTATTTATATGGTAAATTACTATTTATTTGATAAATTACTACTTATTATAAATAGTTTTAAAATATGTTATTTACTTAATTTAATTTTAAAAATATATTATTTACCACGATTTCACTATTAAGGTCTTCTTCTCAAAATTTATCATTTGATTAATTGGGCCGGTGGAAAGTCTGAAGGCCCAAACCATATGTGATGGTACGGTGGTGTTGAAGCAGCAGCAGCAGCACAAAGAAGGGGCAAAACCAGCTCCCGCTCTCCCTCCATCCGCCATTGCTGTTCTGCTGCATGCTTCTCTCTCTTCCCTATCTCTCTCTTTCTAGAATTCAGCAATGGAGCTACTATTTCCACCTTCAAAACTAACACCTCATTTCAGAAGCAGCACTTCAACAACGAGATTCTTGCCTCCGTCACTGTACTTACCTTCGTCTTCTTCTTCTTCTGCCTCGTCTCTACGCCGGCGCTCCGTTTCTTCGCCGTCGGCAATCAGGAGGATTCCTCTTCCCTATCTCTCTCTTTCTAGAATTCAGCAATGGAGCTACTATTTCCACCTTCAAAACTAACACCTCATTTCAGAAGCAGCACTTCAACAACGAGATTCTTGCCTCCGTCACTGTACTTACCTTCGTCTTCTTCTTCTTCTGCCTCGTCTCTACGCCGGCGCTCCGTTTCTTCGCCGTCGGCAATCAGGAGGATTCGCTGCGAGTTCGACGCTAAAATCAACGGCGCTCTGCCCGGCGAGTTCGACCCCCGTTTTCTCGACCGCGTAATCCACTCTCTCTCTACTACGTAAAGATTTTGTTGTATGTGTGCTTGTTTGTTCAAATTTTTGTTTCCTTTTTAATCATTTCAAATATATTTTGTTGCTTTCGTAAGGAATCAGGGGAATACCTCGTTTTGCGTGTTTGAATGTGGAAATTCTCTTGCTTTGTATCATAACTTTGTTCGTGAAGGAAATTTTTTGGTTTACTGAAGATTTGAATTAGGTTAAGTTAAGTCTGCGTTTGGGAGAGTGGAAATGTGAAAGGAAAGAAATTGAAAGGAGAGATTTTGGAGAAGAAAACGGAATATTGGGATGTTTGATAAAGATAAATTGAGAAGGAAAGAAAGTTGAAAATCTACAAGGCTTGCCATTTTTACTCCTTTCAACTTTGAAAAGACGGAAGAAAGAGAAATTCTTTTACAAAATAATCTTGTTTAGGCATTTTCCCTCTGATAGAAAAACTTCCTCTTTTTTTCTTCATCACCAATTACCAATTATAGTTTTAACAGTCAACATGCTTGCATGAAGTTCTTGTTTATTATTATTGTTTCTCTCTCTCTGAATATAAATGTAATGACCCATGTCATGAATAGCTAAAGAGTAGATTAAAGCTGACCTTATTACTTCATCTCTAGCAAAAGGCACTGGAAGCAGCAATGAATGATATTAATAACTCATTTGGAAAAGGAAGTGTCACCAGATTAGGCAGCGCTGGTGGAGCTTTGGTGTATGTATTTTCCTCTTGATGATGATGTTACTCATTTTGCTCGTTTTTCCTCGCAATTTTTCATGTTTACATGTATGGAAGGAGAATGACATGGTGCATTCAAATAAATTTTAGGATTTAGAGGGAAGTAGATTGCATAACATTTTGTCATTGGCAGTGAAACCTTTCCCAGTGGCTGCTTGACATTAGACCTTGCCTTGGGTGGTGGCCTTCCAAGAGGAAGAATTGTGGAGGTATAAGTCTTTGCACTTGTCCTTTAATTTTAAACAACTACTTTTGTTAAGGATGTTAATCAGGTTATAAATATACTTTATATCTCATTGTTAAAAGATGCCTTGCTTTGTAAATAAAACTTACTGTATGGTGGGATATATGAGAGTTGAAAAAATTTATAGAATTTCAAAGTATGGATGGTTCTTTTGAATGGGTCTTTAAACATGATATCATTACCTTGTGCGTCATTACTTAAACAGGGAACAATTTGTTTATCTTCTGCTTATTTTCCAGATTTACGGACCAGAAAGTAGTGGAAAGACCACTCTAGCACTCCATGCGATTGCAGAAGTGCAGGTATCAATTCCACTTGGAATTTTGAACATCATCTTTTGAGTTATTATATGGATATTAGAAGTCAGTTATGTTTAATTATTTCTCTGTAATGAGATCAACATGTATCTTTTTAAATGGTATCCTTGCAGAAGCTAGGGGGAAATGCTATGCTTGTTGATGCAGAGCATGCTTTTGACCCAGCATATTCAAAAGCATTGGGAGTTGATGTAGAAAATTTGATTGTTTGTCAACCTGATCACGGGGAAATGGCACTTGAGAGTAATATATCTTTTCTGTTGTTTTTTTAATAATGTTATATATTTTCTTCTAAATAGAATACACGCACAAATTTATTTATATAGGGTGACGCTTCTTACATGCAACCTTGATATATGTTGATTAATCTTTTGCCATTTCAGTTGCTGATCGTATGTGCAGATCCGGTGCCATAGATCTTATTTGTGTTGATTCTGTTTCAGCTCTCACTCCTCGAGCAGAGATTGAAGTAATCTTTGTTTTTTGTAGTAAAATTTTTAATCGAGGGTAGGTGCCAACATCTGACTCCTTGTGGTCTTGTTAAATCGTAGGGTGAGATTGGCATGCAGCAGATGGGATTGCAAGCACGTCTTATGAGCCAAGCTTTGCGTAAAATGTCAGGAAACGCTTCTAAAGCTTGCTGTACTCTTATATTCTTGAACCAAATAAGATATAAGGTAGTTTTTCTTGCTTACTCTGAGTTTTCTATTTGCTTGATGGAATATTTATTGTCTTTGTCACGGGAAATTATTTCTTGTATGATTGAGTCAGTTACACCTCCAATTCCTTTATTGCTTTAACTAAAATCTGACTAGTTTGATTATGAATTTTGTAAGATTGGTGTATATTATGGGAATCCAGAAGTGACAAGTGGAGGAATTGCATTAAAGTTCTTTGCCTCAGTTCGTCTTGAAATACGTTCTACAGGGAAGATAAAATCCGTAAGCCCTATGATTGCTGCTCCTTTTTCTTTCCCCGGTGTTTCTCTTTTCTATTTTGGTGGGTCGGGAACAGCTGCTTGACATAACATACTTATCCGCTGCATGACTTTTGGTCATGTTTACTGCAAGTTTCGTTAATCATCAATTTATCTGTTTAGGTGAAAGGAGATGAAGAGATTGGACTTCGGGTTCGCGTGAGAATACAAAAGAGTAAGGTACATTTGCATTTGCATCCATGAGGGTTGCACCTTGCTTAGATGAAACTCTCCGTTCATTTTAACCATAAAATGATTCTGTAAAACTCTGCTAGACAAATAGATGCAATGCAAGTTTTATGTGGATTGGCTTGATTCAGTAGTGCGTCTAATGCTTTTCCTAGTTGCTTTGTATATAACGTGTCTTTCACTGGAAAAGATTGGTCTGCTGCAATATCAAAAGATTAAATACATTTTCAGTGTATTTTAAATACTTAATAGTTTATTTCTTGTTCAAATTGTTTGTCCACCAGTTCTATTTATTGTTCAAATTGTTTGTCCACCATTATGTTTTAGTGTTTTTCTTTATTTTTAGAAAGGTATCAATAAGTTCCCATCACAGGTTTCGAGGCCATACAAGCAGGCTGAATTCGAAATTATTTTTGGAGAGGGAGTAAGTAAACTGGTAAGTACAGTGACAGAGCACGTCTATTTCCTATCAAAAGGTGAAAAACATATTCCATTTCTATCTGTTTTCTCCTGCAGGGTTGTGTATTGGATTGTGCTGAAATTATGGATGTTATAGCAAAGAAGGGCTCCTGGTATAGCTATGGGGACCACAGGTATGTCCACATTACTAGTGAGGTTATTGTAGGGCCCGTTTTGGTTCATAGGTTTAAATAGAAAGTTTGAACCGAAAATCACAGATAAAACATTGTAACAAAAAGGTTTGAACTGTGGTTTAAACCAGCAAAACAAACAGACCAGTAGTTAGGACTAGATTTGTGAGTAGCGCAGTATCAGTCAACTAACACGAGTAGAGTATTAGTCCACTCCGAGTGAGGTCAGAGTAATGCTAGAGCCACCAACTCTTGCACCAATTTTTTAACTCCACCAAGTGATGTGGCATTTTTTAACAACACAAAGTAACCACTAATTTTATACTTGAAGTAGCGTGATGCCAACTTTGAAAAGTATGTGGTTCAAAACTTGCCCCATTACTTAGTGACTAGTGTAATAAGCTGGTGTCTTGGCATTATCAGATAAGGTGATTTATGCCTGGACTGGACTGGACTGGTGAGTAATAGAGTATCAGTCGATCACCATGATTCTAGTTTTAGTTCATTATCCTCTTAATTCTTCTCATGCCCCCTTTTTTTTCCATATGCATCTTTAAAATTGGACTATATTTTAACTCTTGAGCTATTGCAGCTTATAACTGTTTTCTTTTTTCTTTTTTCAAGGCTAGGACAAGGGAGGGACAGATCATTGCAGTACTTGAGAGAGAACCCTCTTCTTCTTGACGAAATAGAAAAGGTTTGTTGCTACTTTTCATGTTATAATCTGTGCCATTTCTATTGTTACTGTGATCCGACAGCCGTTTTATTACAAAATAGACCCAATTATGAAATTTGAATTTGGAAAAGTCACCAACGGTTCAATAAGTGCACATGCTTCGCAATTCTATTGTTGAAATCCATATGAGGTCTTTATTTTTTAAGGCAGCCAAATAAAAAAGGCACGATAAAAAAGGCACGATAAGAAAGTCACCAACGGTTATCCTTGGCTTGGCAATTATGTTAGTGTTAATAGCGCCTTTGGAAAATAACTTTAAACAAAAAAGGCACGATAAAAGGACGAACACTTAGTTCGTCTCTGACCAGTGAGTTATTTGAAGGTTGATATTTGTTTATTTGTAATGTGAAAATCTTGTACAAGGTCTATTATTGTCTCTTCTTTCTTTAACTAGATTTCATTTGCCATCATAATTCGTGAACACAAAGTATTTCATCAAACTTGCAGATAGTACGGTCCAAACTGGCGGAAGGAACCGGACAAACAGGTTTTCTTCAACCAAGGAGCTTATCGTTACCCCAAGAGGACGAAGATGTTTATGAAGAGAGTCAATGAGAATTAACATATCATTGTCAGTATTCTCCACGTTGGATAAAGGTGCTAGGCCAGGGACATTGATTAAAACTGGAAGCAGAAACAGTGCAACAACGGTTTTGCTCAAATTTACATCGACGAAGTTTCGAAAAGTTGTGATCAGTGTCTTCCATTCTTTTTTGCTGAGATCATTAGCTTCCATTAGTTTGGGGCGATAGAAAGTGACATTGGTGCTGATGGAAATATAAAAAACTGACATTCAGTATTGACTGTAACTGTAAGCAATTTATTTATATTCAATGGAAAAAGTGGGATAAGGGGTTTGGGGGTTTGTGAGCTGTGTTCTGGGGAAGTTATTATCTATCGTTGGCCTCTATAGTAGAATCAGTCGGGAGCCTGAGAGGCAGAGGTTTACCTTGTAACGGATGTCAACAGTTCGAGTCCGTTTATCTCCGACTCGTGAACTTATACCTCATCTGTCACAAGTTCTCCCATTTTTGGTCTCCGGGTTATCAATTTTCAAATTTGGTGCCAAATAATGCCTTCCTTGCGAGAGAAGAAAGAAAAAAAAGAAAAAAACTGGATCATATCTCTTAAATTGAAAAGAAGCGCAAGTATTTCCCTTTATGCTCACTTTCAAAACAACCCAAAACAGCGTTCCGACCGTCTTTGTACTAGCATCATTGGATGTATTAAACATCACTTTCATTTATTTTTATTTATTTATTTATTTATCCATTCGTACTTTTCTTTTGTTTAATTAAGCCTCCCAAAATGGCATTTTTCGGAGATGTTAGTATTCATGCTTAGTTAATGATCCTCAATGCAGAAGAAAGAGTTCATCAATTACTAATTAATAATTCCGAGTCTACAGGTTTTAAACAAATTACAAACACGAGTGGATTTTTTTCTTTTTCTTTTTCTTTTTTTTCTCTTTCATTGTTGAGGAACTTAACTTTGAGATTTCTAGCTAAAATTTGTGGTGCGAAAAAACAGTCAAATAGGAAAAATATAAAGTAGCAAGGAATAAGATACAAGACATTACAAGTAAAGGTTCATAGAGTATATGGTGAATATTCTTGTCTGGACAGTTACATGGAGAAACCGCTATAATATTACAAATTACAGCATAAAGAGAAAAGAGGATTCTAGTTTTACTGTGCCAAAGCACTTGTGTTGTAGACAAGAAGGGCACCTCCTGCAAGAAGACCGGCTAGAGTCACAGCCCAAATGGCCAACCCAGTCGTACCTGCGGTTTAATCGAGATAATTACACAAAATGCCAAATAGTTTACATAAGTTAATAAATAAGCTAAATTACTATTTTCGTCCATAACTTATCTGGTTATGAACTATAACTTGATAAGTTATTGTCCATAACTTGTCTGACTATGAACCATAACCTGACAAGTTTATCCATAACTTATCTGGTTATGAACCATAACTTAACAAGTTATGACCTATTAATTTCTATAACTAAAAATTAGCCTATATACTTTCTTAAACTTTTCATATTGGCCTATTTTTTACTATTTCCCTTACACAAAATGCCTACTTTAATCGAGATACAATTTACCATGTCTATAATAATTAATGGGGTTTATCTAAAAAAAAAAAAAAAAAAAAAAGAAGCTAACCATGGGATTTTTGCTTAATGGGGTTTAATTTATCATGTAAAAAGTACTTACCACCAACATAGACATCACCACTTGGAGACCAGTCTCTGGTGTCGAAGATTGGACTGCAAATCAATATTTACACATTGTTAGTATATATACCACTACTTATGTTATAATGGACTTAGTATATATACAGTCATTTTATTGGAGGAACGTTAAATAAGGTTTGATATAGACTTTCATATGGAAAAAAATTTAATTTTTTTTAAAAAAAAACAAATAGTTGATCCTGCAGTACCTGTATCCGTCGACATTAGCACCGTATTTGTCTACAAATTGGTAAACTCCCTTTCCCTGATCAATCATATATGCTTGAAAGTTAGATAACAAGGTTAATCCTTACTGAAAGATAATAGTGATAAAAAAAATAAAACAAATATTTTGTTGGTGGCTGGTAATTAATTTAAGAAACTATTATACAAAATTGGTTATCAAACAGAATATCTAGAGCATGCGAGTTGTTGTGTGTGTTTTTTTTTTTTTTTTTAGCTTCGTTTTCGCTTAAAAAAAAAGGATTAATTTGGAAAGAAACAATACATAGAATTAGAGAAAAATCTAATATGTGAGGTCCGTATATAAAATACAATAAATTTTGATGAAATGGACATAGAAATTTGTATCTATTTACGCCCTACGGTACTTGTATATATAGAATAATCTCGAACGTTTTCTTAATATCCAAAAATCACTTGAAAAAATAAACTTTTCCATAAAAAAAAAGACGTCAGATTAAAGAAGTACGCAGAACAGACAGATTCTGATATAGATCTGACGGTTGAAAAATAAGGGACTACCAAAAGAATATTGTAAGTAAAAATATTTTCTTAATCTAAGTAATTATCCAACGTCCACGTTTGTTATTCAAGAGAGACTGAAAGTTATACGTACATGTAACGTAATTAAACGAGTGAGTAACGGTGCATAATTTAAAAAAGAAAAAAAAAATACACAAATTTACCTTGCCTTTCCTGCCGGAGGCATCAAGACCTTCCCTCAAGCTCATTCCACCATTGATTCCTGAAAATTAGTTATTATCATTATGTAACGATATGCATAATATTTTTGTCACGTTTTCTTAATTTGTATATATAAACAATTGATAATTGTCTCTATGGGAGTTCATACAAACACTTTTTCCCTACTTTCTAAACTATAGACTATATATGTAACGATATGCAAAATATATCTTCTTTTAAATTATATTCTATATCAGAGGTCTACAGTAGTAAACATCATATAACGCCCTTTAAACATTACCAAAACTTTTGTTTAAGGGATAATAACCTTTTTTTTTTTTCTTTTTTATAATTTCTGCGGTAACAACTATTCTTTTCATTACAGATAGATATGTTGTAACAATTTGATTAATTTTTTAATTATCTGATTTATGAGTATAGTCAAAAGATGATCAGTTCATCATAGCATAAAAATTGATCTCTTTCTCTTCTTCTTTAAGGAAAATTTATAAAAAGAATTGCAAACTGCTTAAAGTCTTAAGTATAGGAAGAAAGTAAGTATTTAATCTACAAATTAAAAAAAAAAAGAAGAAGGAAAAATTATTTAAAAGTACCATAGGGCTTGTCAGTCTTAATCTTCTTGACACCACTGGCGACAACTCTGAAGGAAGAAGAGGAAACCCTAGAAAGTGAAGGAAGTCCTCTCGCCGCCGATCTCTCGACGGTGAAAGGCGCTGGTTTCAAGCTCACTGACGCCATAACTGAGGCTGCCATTATCAGATTATTATCCAATAGATTCAAATATGAAGATCTCCTTCTCTACTTTGAGCTATATTTAGCTTCTTCTTCTTCTTCTTCTTCTTCTTGGCTTTCTGATATTCTAGACTAGTAACATAATAAGAATGCCAACATGACATATCAAGTGGCTGATAGGGGTGACACGTGGCGTTCAGTGTGTGGAGGATATCTGGATATGATGTTGAAACGTTATCAGAACTTGAGCTTCTTTGCACCAAAGAACTTCTCTCTCTCTCTCTCTGCCCTTCTTTCTCTCTCATGATTGCAAATCTAGGGACCCATCTTGTTTCTTGACACGTGGACTTTGTCCAAAGCAATGATAGATCAATACTTGTGTGAAAATCTCTATTAAGGGAAGATTATTTACGAATTTGTGTGGTGTAGGTATACAGTTTTTTATTTTTTATTTTTTTTGGAATTTTAAATGTTTTTTTATGGGTTATTTTCTATTTTATACAGCTTGTATTTTGAGTTTATATAAAAACATAACCCTTTGTTTTGGATGTTCTTAATATCGTACGTTGAATTTCAACTTCATAAAAATTTTATGCGTTTTCCGTTCAATAGTTATTGTTTACCCTTGAATTCACAAATTTAACATTTGCAGCTTATGATGATCTTATAACCAAAAATGAATCATGCATAATGTTTAAAGCAACAAAAAATAAAAAAAAAATAAAAAAAAACATTGTATTTTCAAGCTAAGTTGAAAAGGGTAATTTAGCAAATAATGTTTCATTATAATAGTATCTATAAGCTAGAAAGGGTAAACACATCAATTGAGGTGTCAAAATGATTTGAAACGGATTTGAAATTCGGAAGTATGGTTTTGAGAACATTTAAACTACTGGGTTAGTTTTTTGATGAACTCAAAATGCACGGTATAGAATGTAAATACCCCTTTTTTCATCATTGAAATTACTCTCATTCTTTTTTTTTTCTTTTTTTTCACATTTTCAATAGTTTGGGTTTGTCATATTTTCTCTCTCATTCCGATATTCTCTCTCCTTTTTTATTAAAACTCATAAATGGAAGTCAATATTTGGTAATCAAGATCCGTATATTACAAGGTGTTTTTTTCCTAAATTCGCCAAGTTTAAGAGGTTTTGCTCGTAATAATATTTTAGTCTTTATAATGTTTCACATGTTTAAATTTTATCTTAAATTTCGCTAAAGTTTTCTTATTAGGATGACTGTGATTTTTGGGCATCAAATATTGAAGTTGCCAAAATAATGTAACAAGACCCTGAGTTCAATAAATTAAAAAACAAATCAATAAATTAAAAAACAAATAAATAAAGACATTTGAGTTTAGATGATGCACAAATTTACATAAAGGTTTTTTTCCATGGTTACCCATTGAACGTTTTGCGTTTAGCAATACAATGAAGTCTTAAAAATTGATTCCTCAGATCTTTTAATAACATGTATTACATACTAAACGGTTTGTAACGCTTGATTTGCTCGTGATCAATCTTAGGGGCCTTGGTTGTCATGGTCATCAAAATCAACAAAAGATCTTTTAAAAACACATAAACCCAAGAATCAAATGGATGAATGTGGACTATCTTCCGTCCTTGTTCACTGTTTTTTTGTCATTAGAAGCTCATGTGCGAGTCACTTCGGAAAAAACAATCCAATAATTCCATAGGGAAGAAACGAAAAGGGATGGGTTTTACTTTTACTTTTATCTGTTTTACTTTTACTTTTATCTTTGAAGAAGGAGAAGGGAGAAGCGAGAAGCGAGTAGACAGAAGCGACCAGACTGAGAAAAGCGGCGGTGGTCCGGTGGACTGAGAGAAGCGGCGGTCGAGAGTGGAGAGTGGAGAGTCACAGAGAAGAAAAAAGGAGAGAGAAGAAAAGTGAGACCCTTATAGTAGGCAGAGGCGGCGCATAGAGATGAGATGAGAAGAAATGTTGAAATATTTCTATCTAAGTAACAAACGGGTAAAAAAACGAGTTGTGTATTCGTGTTATCCAAATATGACACGTTTAATAAATGAGTTATGACGGGTCAATTGCGGGTTGACAAGTCAACCTGAAAATGACATGTTATTTAATCGTGTTTTGTAAGTTCGACCTGATTTTTACCCGAATTTGTTTATGATAAACCTAAATCTACTAATTTCGTGCGGGTTTCGAATCGTGTCGCTACTCGAATTGCCAGCCCTATTCGAAAGGACTATCAATACAATGAATTTTGAAATTTAAGAATGAATCGTCAAGTTTTTTAATTTATACACCGGATTGCCAAATGCAGAAAATTTATTACGGGGTATTAGGCCTAAAATAAAACAATTATTGCATTCATTTACAAGCTGTATGACGATCCAACGAGCTTGATAATCGCAAGTGTTGACGTCATTAAGGGAAAAATAAAAAATAATGAAAAAACTTCAACATGAAAGGATATACTTTGAGATGTACAGTTCAATGTGAACTTGAAATTCCATGACAGATTTCAAATATTTCCAGGTGGGTTTTGTCCAAAGTCAGAAAACCACTAACCCAATATATAAAAGTGGGGCTTTAAATATATAAATATATAGAATAGTTATTTTCCTATCATGTTATTCATAAAAATATAAATATAAATATCATGACATGACGTGATAAAAATTCAATTTTATTATCACAAATTCTTTTAATTAACTATCCAATTTATTACATTTAGAGAAAAAAAAAAAAACTATCTAATTTATTACAACCGACAGTTTAATAACTTACGGCTAAAACAATGATACCCATTGATGAGTAAATATTATAGTAACTATTAGAACACGCCTAGACATATATATATATATATATATATATGCATGGATGCATGCAATTAAGTACCATAATAGCTATTATAAGCAGCTTAGAGTCTCCTTAAATTTTGAGGCTGCGGCCATTCCACTAATAATGGCACCTTCTACATTGGAGCTAACACAAAAGTCACCACAAATGGCAAGTTTCTTCTTCTCGTCCCAAAGGCATTTCTCCTCTCTTGCTATGCTTGTAGCTGGAAAGGCACTTCCCCTGCAAACATAAGAATCCCAAGATATTTCAGACAAATCACGTAGCCAAAAAGCTTCGAAGTTCGAACACGGTCCCTGCGCTAGAATCTGATATCATAAAGCAGAATATGGAGTTGAATTATTAGCAACCAAGGGAAAAATCAAGGAGAGGTAAGGAATCTTGAGACTTAGAAAAAGAAACGATGCGTTGGGTTCAAGGTCAATGAAAAATGGCAATTGTCAAAGTATAGAGTAATAGGAAATTAAAGCAAGAATGAGAGAGAACTATAATTTTGACGTTTTATAGTACTGTGAAATGATTCTAGCTAGGTGAAACTGCAGCCTTGTCCTTGTTTCCAGAAGTGCACTCCATTGTGTGCGTATGAATATTCCTCGCAATGAAATCAAGAGATCTAATACCAAGTTCACTAAGGGATGCATATCACAAATTTACAACTGTGTAAAGTTAGTGATGAGGAACAACAATGGCTTATGAGGAAGATCAACTTAGAATGTAGTGATAAGTAAATTCCCTATTTACTTTTATTTTTAAGTTAGTGTTTGGTTAAATTTCACAAGAAGTATTTCAGTAAGTTTCCCTTACAATATTATTAGCTAATTTCCATTATGATGTTTTTGTTTCAAAATTACTTGGCCTAGTGATTTTTATTTCACACACACCCAATTAATGATATTTAGGACCCGTTTGTTTCATATACTCAAACTCAAATCATTGATTCTGCTACAGTGTTTCCCTCTCATAAAAAAAATAATTTTCAAACGTCAGAATCAAGAACCATGGTTTGAGTATACATTCTAAACGGGCCCTTAATGATCAGAATTCCTTACTATTCTTCTTCTCCCTCTAAATTCCAGATTTCCCTCTCTTTCCTTCTCTTCCTTTCTCTCTTCATATGTCTATTACTCTCTCAACATTCTTGCTGTGGTCGTCCGGCATCAGAGACACAAAGTAAAATTCCAAAAAGCGGGGAAAGAATATTCCGCCTAAAAGTCAAAACTTGAACCAGTCCAACTAATCAAGCACAGCCTACACTTGAAAAAGTTGACCTTTACTGCCTTTCCCAGCCACTTACAGTTATTCCTAGACAATTCGTGTGGTGTTAGTTTAGCATATTCCGAAAATTAGCAGCAAAAATCAAAGCACCAGTACAAGTACAAGCACTGACCACCTATGAGCTTTCTTATAAAAGGGCTCAAAAGGAACAAGTCCTGTGCTTTGTAATGCTTGGAATAATTCTTCAGAGACTCTGGTCAGCGTTGCTTCTGAAGGTTTCTGAAGCCCAGTTTGAGAAATTATACTCCGAGCATACTCCATTGTTGAGTGCAAAACCCATTGCTCACTGCACAAAAGGAAACAAAATAGCAAAGTAGTACTAAAACACAATGACGAGGACGATACTAATTCACGAAATGTACTATCCTCATCCTTCATGCATACCTGTCAGCAGAACGGCCAGGCTTGCTGCTGTCACAATAAGCCCAGCTCAAAACTTCGGAATTTTTAATTGAGAAGCCTTTGAAAGGTATCTGAATTGTCAACCCAAGTGGAACAACTTAAGACAAATAAATTTGTGGAAAGAAGGGTCGGAAAGCGAATATAGCATATTAAAAGTAGATATCCATCACACTCAACCCAAACATCCTAAAAGGAAAAGGGATAGAGATAAAAATGTAAATGTTTGCAGAGGGCATATAGTTTCCAAAAACAAAAAAGTTCGCACGATTATCTATCTTACTGAAGATGATAGAGGCTGTGCAAGTGCTAGCATGAGAGCAAAACACGGGTGCACAGGAATGTTCTGCAACTTATTCGCCATCTCTGGAACCAAATTCAAATCTACATAGTTAAACCAAAGAAAGGGAGGGATTAGTATGGATCTTTCTTTAGTGACAATTTAGTCAGCAAAGAAAACAACAAAAAATAAAACAGCAAATTATTCTTGCTCTGTTTTCATAATAAAATAAGTAGCAAAATCATCTGGAGGCCTTTCAAGATAGAGTCAGAGATTAAGCCACTACATATAAGCTTCAAAAGAATTGGCAAAACATTATCAGAGGATACGATCTTTTGGTTCTTCCTAAATAGCCTTATGGTGAACATAAAGACTGCATGTCAAGTCCTGAACAGACTTGGTTCATGTAGTAGTTATTCGTGTCATGTTCATATCTGTGTGTGTCTCTGTCCATACTGTATTTCAAAAAGTGCGAGGACATGCATCATTCTAAATATAAAGCCAATCGGTCGCCTTCTGGCTTCAAGGATTTAATGAGATAATCATTGAGGATATACTAAAGATTAAAAGCCTTAAGTGTTGATATTTCATGTTGCAGTTAGGTGATGGTAAGTAACATTTTGGTTCAGAAAAAGAGTGGTAAATAATCACATTCATTAGTATTATTAACTGTCTCCTCCTGAATAGGACGGATAAGGTAAAACAAGACTAACCTTCCAATTAAATAACCAACCACCAATTTAATAGTTACGAGCAGCCATATTGTGGTTTAACCTAGATAAAGAACAATTTAACATGGGTATAAAAGGAAAAATAAAGTCTCTAACACAGAAAAAGCTATGCTAGACCTCAACCTTAGAGGTGAATGAAATGATTGCTACACCAGGCCTGTAACTGCATTTCAAGCGTTTTTCTCAATTCAAACATTGGTTGCTATTCCACATATTCTCATAAAGGCTCTAACATTCACATTTGCTAACCAAGGCAATAGGCTGAAACAATATTTCCCGCTGAAAGGACAACCAGGGGATAAAACATGGACTATAAATATAGAAGATATACGGCATCCTTCAAGACCAAGTACCAGAAGAAAAATACTAGGCAGACACATATTCCAACTGGTGGACTGGGGGATTAGATCATACCAAGAGGTGGTGTTCGTCTAGTTACGCTTGTAAACCTTGGTGAAACTATGTTCTTATCCGATGCTACCACTCCATTAAAGTGGCCAAGATTCCGTCCATCCAGAGCCATCAACGACCACAAATCTTCATCCTCTAGCCATTCCAATTTCTCAACACTTGTCCCAAACTTACTTTCCACTCCTTAGAAAGTACAGATAAACTGAGACTCAACAACAGGAAACCAATAATGGGATAGAGAAAGTGTAGAATCTTATACCTACCAGGGTCGTAGCATAATGCTTTGCATATAGAATTCATGCCCAGGACACCCACATATCTTTTACCTACTTGTTCCTAGAGAATATTGACATTCAGAAAAGCCATCTCCAACAAAAAGAAATGATAACATGACGCATTTCAAGCGTTTTTCTCAATTCAAACATTGGTTGCTATTCCACATATTCTCATGAAGGCTCTAACATTCACATTTGCTAACCAAGGCAATAGGCTCAGACAATATTTCCCGCTGAAAGGACAACCAGGGGATAAAACATGGACTATAAATATAGAAGATATACAGCATTCTTCAAGACCAAGTACCAAAAGAAAAATACTAGACAGATACATATTCCAACTGGTGGACTTGGGGATTAGATCATACCAAGAGGTGGTGTTCGTCCAGTTACACTTGTAAACCTTGGTGAAACTATGTTCTTATCCGATGCTACCACTCCATTAAAGTGGCCAAGATTCCGTCCATCCAGAGCCATCAACGACCACGAATCTTCATCCTCTATCCATTCCAATTTCTCAACACTTGTCCCAAACTTACTTTCCACTCCTTAGAAAGTACAGATAAACTGAGACTCAACAACAGGAAACCAATAATGGGATAGAGGAAGTGTAGAATCTTATACATACCAGGGTCGTAGCATAATGCTTTGCATATAGAATTCATGCCCGGGACACCCACATACCTTTTACCTACTTGTTCCTAGAGGATATTGACATTCAGAAAAGCCATCTCCAACAAAAAGAAATGATAACATGAGTGCAAGGAAAAAGCTTTACAGTAACGAAAATTGCTTGCATTTCTCTCTATTTATTACGAAGAGTATTATTAAAGGGAACAAACACTGTACTAAGGGCAAGTTTACATGACATGAACAGGAAAGAGATAGGAAGGTGTATTTCCCATTTCCTACCTATTCATAATTCATGTGTTTACACTTACAAAATGAGGAATACTAATTTGGTGGAGCACATATGATGTAGGCAATGAGAAAAGGAAAAATCAATCCTAAGTCCACATAATCAATTGATATAAACCACAAAATTACTTATGCACAAGGACGTTTTGGTACTTAAGCTATTAGGATTCCCATTCAGAAAGTCGGTAAACGCTAGAAAGTGAAGAGGGAATTCGGTTGTTTCAAATGCAATTCCTAATAGCTAAATAAACACTAGAAAGGGAATCAATAATCCTCTTTTTTTTGTACTTTTTTTCTTTCCTTTCTAACACATTTTCTTTTCCCATTACATTCCTTTGCAAGTTAGTAAACATTCCCTAAGTTTACATACAACCATCATTTTACCCAAAATCCAAATTACATTGGAAGTTTGCTGAATAAATCTTATTTTCCAAATTACTTCATCAGTAACACTAGATTTGGGTGAAACGTGAACCTGAGCATTGCCAAAGATATGCTGCTTGAAAATCTACTCTCATGAAAAGTAAAAGAAGTGAGACTTGTAAACCTGTTGTCTATCAATAAACTTGGTCGAGGCACAATCGAATGACCCGAAATTCTCCTTCCACTCAGCCACAAGTCCTCTAGATTCCCACTCCTGAACAAGACCCAGTACCTCAGTGTTGCTGACAGTGAAAAATGGTGCACCATGATCAAATAACAACTCCTTCCCATCTTCACTTACTTCTCTGCTCAACACAAAAATAAATAACACAAAAATCAGTGTATTTCATTTTCTTTTTGTGGCTTCTGCACACCCCCCCCCACGGCTCCTGAACTTGTATAGTTTTAGCAACTTGCCCCTGAACTTTAAATTTTGGCAAGTTGCTCCCTCAACCTGTAAAGTTGTTGCAATATGTCCCATTTTGACGATGATTGTTTAAATTACTACAGAAAAAGCACGTTCTATGAAAATTCCAACATCGCAATTTAAATGTAACACAAATCTTTTAATTCCACAACTTTTAATCCCTTAAATCTAATAAAAAATTTGAGCAAATTTAGTAAAATGGGGATTGATTGCCAAAATTAAAAGTTTGAAGGTTAATTTGATAAATCACCACAAGTTCAGAGCGCAATTATGCTATAAACCCAAAAAAAAATCAAAGAAAAAGTAGTAATACTGATGCGGAACAACAAGATAAATTTTGAATTCAAATTTGTATAATTATCGATTTGGCTATTTTATCTTTAATATTTAATTTTAAATTAAAATTATATTTAATCTTGAAGGATTATTTCGAATGTAGTTTAAGTTGATTCTATTTCTATCTGTTCTGGCTCTTGATTCTCTCTTTTCTGTCTAAGTTCTACATTTTCTATCTTTTCTATCTTCAATCTATCCAGGTCCTACATCGAAATACTCATTCCAACTTTGGTGACAAATGTTGCTTCCAAATGGGTACATTTTTTTTTTTATCAAACCTTATTAATTAAATGGAATACCTTTTTCCCTTCCAGATCGAGTAACAATCTTCCCCTCAAAATAATAACAATGATCATGATGATGTTTATCATTTGTATCCAACAATTCTCAGGTGTAGCAAACACCACAAAAAAAAACCCCCCATTTTTCTCTCAGCCCACTTATCTGGTACTTAAATATTGGAATTTAGAAATTATCCTTTAAAAAAATATATTTTAGAAAAAAAAAAAAACCTTCTCTGGGACATGCGGCCACCAGGTCCTCTAGCTGATTCGAACAAGGTGACAGAAACCCCATTTCTTGCCAGAATTGAAGCGCAAACTGCTCCTGAAACTGATCGAAGATTTCACAAAATTAAACACTAAAAAAAGGGAAAAATAATAAGAACGTCATTGATTTTCTGATATGAAGACTAATAAATGTATGAGAGTTCTTACTTCCACTTCCCACAACAGCAATCTTAGCGGAATTCATGGTGACAATTTGGACTATTGAAATGCTGAAAGAAGCAGGCAGAGAGAGTGAGAGCCCTAGGCTTTTTGCAAGCTCATTAATGGCGGGTCTGGAAAAGCAGTTAGTTTAGTTGAAACTTTCTTCTTTTCTATTGTTGTTGTGAATTTTAACGGTGGATTGTAACGGTTGTGGTGGCGATTTAAGGAGACCGGTTGTGACGGTAAAATCACCATTTTTTTTTTAAATTGACCTTTTTTTTTTTTTTTTTTTTGGTATGGCCTTCTTACCCTGGCTAATTTTTCGTCAATAAATATGGTCAAAATCTTATCACATTTAAATGATATATAAAATAAATAATTTTTAATATCAATTTAAAAACTAAGTTAAAAGTCTAAGAGCACGTTTGGTTGATGAATTCAGAATCATTCTCAATTTATATGTATTTTTTATAAGAAAAAATATTATAATAAGTCACGAATCATGACATGAATATTTAAACCAAACGCACCCTAAGTGTCCATGTGCTAAATAAATTATTTCCGTTTTATAAGGAAATTTCCGTTTTAAATTTAACTTCGTCAATAATTATATTTAATTGCCATTATTATTAGTCGTTTCGCAAGGAGAAATTGGACGGAGAAGGACAAGGGGAAAACTGGAAAGAATTTGTCATCCATGTTGTTTAGGACTAAAAAGATAAATAAATAAATGAGAAATTATAGTAAATAGTATATTTATAAAATTAAATGAAGTAAATACTATATTTTAAAATTATTCGAAGTAAATAACTGTTTATCATGTAAATGATTTATTTATCACTAGTAAAAACATAACTTATATGATAAAAAATTTTAAAATGGAAAAAAAATTATCAATCGTAAAAAGAAATTTATGTGAAAAAAAAATATTTTTACCAATTACAAATAAACTATTTATACAGTAAATTGTTATTTATTTTAAATAATTTTAACATCTATTTTTACTTCATTTAGTTTAATAGTATATGTTATTCACTAAATTCTCATATTTGACTCAGAATTTTGAATCTTTCGAGAAACTCCAATTTAATGTCTCTAAATATGTAGAAATTCAAAGAGATAATCTATACCAAATAGCAAATACGGTTAAAAAAAAAAATTATTTACTTTTCATTTTTCTCTCTTAAATTATATATTTTTCTTTGAAGATTTAATTGCACTTTTCCTTTCAAGTATTTATATAAAATGATCACTTTTAAACTCTATGTTTAGAATATAACTTTAATTTATTAATTTGTCTATTTTATAGTTATTGCAATAATATTAATCCGAATGTATCGTTTTTATGTGTGTTATTAATTTGTATAACTAGTTTTATGGATGATTAACAAAGAATAAGAATGTAATTGCGAATAATTTTACAGACTTATATACAAATATCACAATTTCTGCACATTTTGTTTTCATCCACTTATATTAATTAACTCTTTTCATTGTTCGTTCTCACAATGTCGAGAAAATTACAGAATTGTATAAGTCTAAACTTTTATCTTGTACTCTTAATAAATATTTTTTTATTAATATAATTATTTAATTAAAAAATTTATAAATTAAAAATAAAAGAAAAAAAATTTTAATTCATGTATTTTTAAAAGGAATTGAGATTTTTAAGGGCCGTTTAGCTGAACTTTTACTTTTGCTTTTAACTAGTTGAAGAAGAGAAGTAAAAACGGTGACTTTTTCAATAAGTGTTTAGAATAAAGAATTTAATGTGTCAAAATGAATTTTAAATTTTCTAATAAGTAATAAAAGTGTTGGAATAAAGTTCATAATGCTTTAATTAAACTCTGGTATAAGTTTTAAAGTCTATTCATGAGTTCTTTTTTTAGAAGCCATAATTTCTGACTTTGACTAGAAGCTCTTCTGAAAAGTCAAAGCACTTCTAACAGATCATCTAAATACTTTCAGAAGTAGCTTTTGAATCTAAGAAGCCAAAAAAAACTTTTAAAAAGCTCTCCTAAATAAATTTTAACTTAAGTTCTCAATTCAAACAAGCGAAACGAAATTCAGGACATCAATTATAGTTCTAAGTATTTATACTAATTTTGGTCCACCTAGACGACGAGTATGACATCTTTTAATTGGCCAAGTTCGAGTCAAGTGGAACAACCATAACTCATAACTCATGACGACAATTTCTTTTTCAAGTAAAAACCTCTCCAATAATGCATCACCTTTAGGCTACTTCAGTTAACAGAGTTAGATTAATGGAAGAAGAATTCAAATGTTAGTATCGGAATATACAATCTTTTGCATAATAATTAAGGATGACATTTTTCCTCATAGGGACGGGGATACAGTGAGGATCCGTCCATAATAAAGTGTGGAACCTGAACATCCTTGTTTCCTCTCACGTCCCGATAACATATTTTTAAAATAAAATATACATATTATTAAATTTTTAAATGTGTTTAATATTAATTTTAATCCTCATATTGTTTTTCTATATATTTTGCGAGAATTTAGTTTGTTTTGCAAAATTCTTTAAGTTTGGATTGAATTTAAGATGAATTTCTACTTATTTTTTGTTTCAAACTTATTAATATTTTTGTGGACGATAAATATCATGGTGAGGATTGGAGCGTGTATTGAGAAAGCCCTCCTAACAAGGATCCCCCAATTTTGTCCACACGTCTTCTTAAGTAGAATCAAAATCACATCAAAATGTAAAAATATGTAAAACAGATGAGTTTTTAAATTTTTATTATGGTCTATCCAACGTAATATATAAAAGTGAAAAACATATCATTATAGTCATTGAATATAACATGATGTTAGATATGCATAACATAATTAATGTTACATTTTAATGCCAAATGTTACGTTTAATAATTGTTATATTACTTTTTTTTTTTTACTTCTACATGTTACGTGAATAGACTATTCATTTAGATTGATCGTAACACTACTCCATTTCTTATATAGATTTAACAGTTAAAAATAAGAGATTTTTACTGGTACGCTAACATACCGGTATGTCGGGTTTTTTGTTTGTCAAATTTATATAAAATCACGTAAAAGTAAAAAAAAATACAAATTTAGGTCTCGTTCACTTCGCGGATTTGAGTTTTCAATTCGAGCTGAGATGTGACATTTTGTGAGAACTTTTCACTGTAGTAAAAAAAGTTAGATGTGACATTTTCTGAGAGCTTTAGACTATAGAAACTTAGGCCCCATTGATTTCACCGATTCGAGTTTAGAATTTGAGTTTTCCTATAGTAAAAAGCTCTCAGAAACAGTTACATTTAACTTTTTTATTACAGTAAAAAGCTCTCACATAAAATCACATCTCAACTCGAATCAGCGAATTAAACGGGCCATTAAAACTGAAAACTCGAATCAGTGAAATAAATGGGATATTAACGGTTGACCTACTGATACACTGGTCTTGTTCATTTTATAGGTTCTACCACAACTCAAGGTTTTATTTTCTCTAATAAAAATTTAAATTTTTGTTTAAACCTAACCAAATGGGTCTAAAATTACAAGTAGAGGAATGATTTTTTATTTTTTTTTCAAAAAGATAATGGTAATACGCATGACTAAAGAACAGTAGGCCTGTCATAGTGAAAAGTTCTTTTTTTTTAATAAAAAAAAGAAATAAGAAAAAAAAGGGCGGAAAAAAAGGGCAAGCTATGAGGGTAGGGGCTGGGTTGGCGGGCTGCGCTGGGGTCCGGTTAGGCAAAGAGAGTCTAAAAATTTTTGTTGTGGAGTTGGTCAAAGGGTGAAAACGAGAGGTTTGGATTATTTTGGGATTGTTCTTTTGGAGTGTAATTTGAGTGTAGTTTTTGAGTTATAATTTGAGTTGAAGTTAGAATTTGAATAAAATTGAGTAAAATTGAATAAAATTGAAACTTAAAATAACGTGAACTTGAATAAAGTTAAAACTTGAATTGTCTTTTTTTGAGTTTTTTAGACAAAAGAATATGCCCTTTATTTTATATATAGTATTATATAATATAATATTGTAGAACTACAGTGTGGAGGACATGTGAAGTGCGTTTTGGGTCACATCATCGTATCTGCCTAATCTCAAAGTCTTTGTCATATTCCTTTTTATTATTATTATTATTACTATTTCTCTTCCTATTTCGGATACCAATTTTTTTTTTTTTAAAGATTTATGCGATTGAGTTTTGAAAAATAAACTATTTGTGGATCTTTATTTTAAGAGATATTTTTTTGATACAGTTGAGTTGTATTTGAGTTATGATTTGAATTGAGAATTTATTTGAATTATAGTGACTTGAGTGTAGATCTTGAGTTGAATTTGAGTTATAATTTGAATTGAAGTTGTAACTTGAGTTTGTGTTTGAATGTGCATATTTGAGTTATGATTTGAATTGAGAATCTATTTGAGTCTGTGTTTGAGTGTGTCAAAACTTGAATTTGTATTTAAATAGTATTTTAATAAAAACTCAATGGTGATGAAAAATTTTAATAGGGTATATGGATGGGGTTTTATTCGTCTCTTCGTTGTGAACGTATAGAAAAAAATCATCTCAATCGGAATTAAAACAAAAAAGTTATGACGATTTTAAAAATAAAAAAAATATTGTTCATTAACTTGAATTTGAGTTTAAGCACTTGAATTGAAGGGGAAATTTAAACTCAGATTTAGCTCAAAACTCAAGTTAAAACTCAAGTTCAAACTCAAATTTTACAAACAAACATGAACTTGAATAAAGTTGTAACTTGAGTTCAAACTTTTTTTGAGTTTTACTCTAAAAATTTTAATAGGGTATACGGGTGAGGTTTTATTCATCTCTTCATTGTGAACGCATAGAAAAAAATCATTTCAATCGAAATTAAAACGAAAAATTTATGGCGTTTTTAATAATAGAAAAAATATTGTTCATTAACTTGAGTTTGAGTTTAGGAACTTGAGTTGAAGAGGGAACTTGAACTCCCTTAACCCCAAACTCAAGTTAAAACTCGAGTTAAAACTTAAATTTTATAAAAGAACGTGAACTTGGGCTCGTTTAGTTCACTGATTCAAATTTTTAATTCGTGTGAGATGTGACTTTATGTGAGAGCTTTTTACTGTAAAAAAAAGTAAATGTGATTGTTTTGAGTTTGTGTTTAAGTGGGTCAAAACTTAAATTTATATTTATATAGTATTTTAATAAAAAATCAATG